TTTCACTAATGCAGTCAAAAGATGATTTGCTTTCCTGACTCCAAGGACAAAAGAAAATCTATATTCATGTAGGGTGTTTGTTAAAAATAATATAAAGGCTGTCCCAGCAACTGATCTTTTTCCTTCACATCCATGTCCATTAACTATCCACTACACACACACACACACACACACACACACACACACACAAACACACATGCACACACGCATATACACATGCACACATGCACGCGCGTGCTCTGACCAAGGGAAAACATATATCGGTTTAGGTTCTAGGTTCCATTGAACAGTTTCCAACCTGTGACCTAGACTAAGTCAGCCCATTACATCTAATTTTAGGGACTGAATTCAACATTCAAATGCAATGTATGTGAGCAAAGCTAACAGCAGGGACTTCCTTGAAGCCCCCTTATTCTGGTATCCTGTCCGCTGGTGTGCCTAAAATTAATATCATCAGCTCTCACACACGTGTTAATAACATGTGCGAGCTTTCCTGATGCACACATGCATGTGTCCCATATGGCAAGTGCATTTGTGACCAGTTGTAGACCAAGGCCACACTCATGGAAATCCATGTGAGGAACAAAAGCTCCTCCCTGGGGAAGGTCAGCTAACCCGGTAGCCTATTTCCACACAACTGATCATCCCTGGATGGAGAGGGCCGGAAGATCTTCAGCTACTGCTACAGTGCTCACTTATCCTGTGTGCTATGGACCCTTCCTTCAGTGTGTGAGAATGGCAGGCAATCAGAATTAACTGCCTGATTTCGAGTGAAAGGTGTTATCAGCGGAGGGATGCAATGCTGTTTTATGTTTTTCCATTTTTTTTTTTCTTTCAACAATCTGCCTACTCTCGATACACACAGAGAAATTCTATGCTGAGGCTGAGTTAGGATTTGCCAAGTTCAACCTGGAGAAAAACAGTTAAAAACCCTTACATTGTATCATTTGCTCTGATTGGTTAGTGACACACTAACGTAGTAACTACAAGTTATTACCAGATGTCCCTCATTTCTCATATGCAGTAAAGGGAAAACAAACTCTGAGATGTAAGAAAGCTTGAGCAAGAAACAGGTTCTAGAAATGGGCATCCATGCAGCCAGAGGATGCTGTAGGATGCCTTCTTATGTTGAGGAACCCTTTTCATAACCAGAAAAGAAATCACCTAAGTGTGATGCTTTGTTAGGGATTTGACCTTCAGTTTGGGACTGGCTGAGGCTTGGTTCTTAGTTACATTGTTTTTCTTTGGTTTAGATTACAATTTTCCTATGCATAGAGAGAGAGTTAGAGGGGTCACCACGGGTCAGATGTTATTGCTTGCACAAGCTGGGTTAGGGCAAATCTATTTCAGTTTTTAACAGAGTAATGAGGCGTGGGCTCTTAACTAGGTTCATGGGTTCACAGGAGTTTCTGAATGGCAATGAGACTGGGTTCTGGGATCAACAAGAGGTAAGATGAGGAAGAAGATATTACCCTAAAACAGAGGTCACACATTGGATATCCTACATATCATATATTGATATTAGGATGCATAACCAACAAAATTACAGTTAGGGGGTAGCAATGAAATGAGGATTTTAATGGTTGGGGGTCACCCACAACATGAGGAACTGTATTAAAGGGTTGCAGCATTAACAAGGTTGAGAACCGCTGCTCCTAAGAGGATGGAGTTTATTCCTTTGCTTCCTCCTTTCCTGTGCTGGTTGGAACTCATGTGGTGACGGCAATCTCTAAGAGGAGCTATGCACCTAGCCTAACCAACAGCATAGCGTCATCTCTGCTCCCCTTCTATGGACATTTAGACAGTGATGAAGTAGGCTTACATCTTGTCACACTAACAGCAATGAGGGTAAGGTGGGCAGTCCCCATCACTCCCAGGGACCTGTTGCCAGTTAACACAGAGGTGCTGAAGTAGATGAGGTGTGGGTATTCCTTGAGCTATCCCTTTGTAATGGTTTTAATCAAGTTCTCCCTCCCTCCCCTCCCTCCTTCTCTCATCCAGGGTCTCCACAGACTGTTGTCTTATCTGCCTCTGTTACTTTTCCCAGTCCTTACCTGTGTTATGCCTATCGTGCGTGCCTGTGCCCTGTGTAGGAGTTGGGGGACTAAAAAGTTGCTGCAACACGCAAGAGGCTTTAATGAACAGGAAACGTTTACGCAAATGGGCTCCTCCAGCAGGCCAGAGAGAAGCCCCTCCCCCGGGCACAGGTGTTTTTAAAGGCAAACCCACAAGCTTAGGGAGGGGGTGGGACCCTCTGTCCATTGAGTACTGACCCTTGGAGGCCTGATGGTCTGCTATTAGGGTCAACAGACCTTAGGGCCTCAGGGTGTGCTAATTAATCTTGTCTGGGCAAACCAGAGTTACAGCTGTCTCTTTGTTTACTAAGGACCCTATTCACCACCTGCTGACTCACAAGAAAGGAGGGGCAGTGTGAATTCTTATTATCTTAGGGCCTTGTGAGCAGAAGTTAGCAAATTCCAAGGAACAGACATTGGTTTCCAGGTTAGTCCTTCATTTCAAGTTGGGGGGGGGTTTCTTTACTTTATTTGTCTTTCACTTGGAATCAAATTTAGGACCAGTGTGTACCAGGAAAGCATTCTACCAACTGAGCTATATTGCCAGCCTGGGACACATCTTTGGATTTTGAAGTATCCCATTTCCTAGGTCTTTTCACTCTCATCTTTGGATTTTATGTCCTTAGGGTTGGAGAGATGGCTCAGCAGTTAGGATCACAGGCTGCTCACCCAGAGTACTGGGGTTCAGTTCCTCAGACCCACAACAATCTTCAATTCTACTTGCAGATGCTCTCTTTTGGCGTCTGTGGGAACAATGCCCAGACATATGTAGACATACAAATAAAATATGATATTTAACACGAATAGAGTTATATTGTATGTTCTTCACAGAATGGTCTCTGTAGAGCATTGGGGTAGTCTTTACAAAAGGGAGGTAAGGCAAACTCAGAGGCCCATGGACTCTCTGCTAAGCTTGTGTCAAATCGTGACTCTGGTAAGCAGGTAAAAATCCTTGGTTAGAATACCACCTAAAATTGATTACCAGGTGAACTATAAGAAGGAACGAGATCTGGGTAATTTAGCTTATAAGAGGTTCAATTTATATATAGGTCTACAGTTTAGTTTTACTTTATTTAAAAATTTAAATTTATTATTTGCGTGTGTGTGTGTGTGTATGCATGTGTGTCTGTTTCTGTGTGTGTGTATGAGTGTATGAATGTGTGTCTGTGTGTGTGTATGTGCGTGTATGTGTGTGTGTGCATGTGGTGTGTATGCATGTGTGTGTCTGTGTATTATGCGTGTGTGTGTGTCTGTGTGTGTGTTTCTGTGTGTGCGTGTGGTGTGTATACATTTGTGTGCCTATGTGTGTATTGAGTGTGTGTGTCTGTGTGTGTGGGTGTGTGTTATGCGTGTGTGTGTGTGTGTGTGTGTATGCATGTGTGTCTGTTTCTGTGTGTGTGTATGAATGTGTGTCTGTGTGTGTATGTGCGTGTATGTGTGTGTGTGCATGTGGTGTGTATGCATGTGTGTGTCTGTGTATTATGCGTGTGTGTGGTGTGTGTCTGTGTGTGTGTTTCTGTGTGTGCGTGTGGTGTGTATGCATTTGTGTGCCTATGTGTGTATTGAGTGTGTGTGTCTGTGTGTGTGTCTGAGTGTGTGTGTGTCTGTGTGTCTGTGTGTGTATGCATGTGTGTCTCTGTGTATGTGTGTTTTGTGTGTGTGTGCGTGCATGTGGTGGGTATGCATGTATGTGTCTGTGTGTGTGTTATGCTTGTGTGTGTGTGTGTGGGTGTGTGTTATGCTTGTGTGTGTGTGTGTGTGTGTGTATGCACATGCACGCATACTTGTGTATATCCAGGGCTTGAACTCAAGTCCTCAGGTTTGGTAGCAGGAACCTTTGCCCACTAAGCCATCTCATTCACTCTGAAGTTTTCTTCTTAAAGCCTAGCTTTCTTCCTGGGTTTCAAGGAGATGTTATTAATCTTTAATCACCAAGGGAGGAACCAAATGAGAAGAAACTGAAGACATTCTTGGTGAACTGAAGCAGTGTTTTATTGCAAACACGAGGCATGGACAGACATCACTCAACAAGTGTCTCTTTGAACAGAGATGTAGCAAGCCCACCTTTTCAAGTTCTGAAAGACAAGTGCTCAAACCAGGGACCAAACACAGCATAGGACATTTTAAAAATATTACAGAATCATGGAGGAATATAGTTGTATATATAAAAATATTCTGTGCTATTAACAAAGCTTTGGGATTTACTACCTCTTGGCAAATTGCTTCAGAAATTATTATAAATACAAACCATAAGGTAAACATCTAAACAAACAAACAAACAACAAAACCCCGAGCCCCTAAAAGCTTTCCTCAGCAACAAGGAACTAGCGTGAGCAGGAAATATTCTCGCCTCCATGACAGTGAGTTGGTCACAAGGTGTGTCCAGTGCAAAGCATGTTTCTCTTTGCAGATTTGTGCTCCCAAAGGGAGCTGGGTGCATGCTTGGTTCACACACAGCACAGCACAGCACATCCCTGTGAAACCTTAAGAACCCTCTACAACAGAGCGTGTTGGCAATTCCATCCATGGAACACACATCTAGGGGCAGAGCAATTCAATAGGACAGCACTCCCCACTCTCTCCCCTCCCCACGGAGGTTTGGTTGTACTCATTTCTAAATCTATAACCCAAATCGCCCAATCTGCATCCACCCTCTTTTTTAAAGGGTTGATGGAAACAATCTATGAGGGAACAAAGAAAATTCTTGGGATTCCAAAGCCCTGAGGAGAGGGGTACCCAATGATGACCTGGTTTGACAAGAACAGCCATCCCATCCTGTGTGCATTCTGTCTTTGCTCCTCCAGGGTGAGACAGGCCAGCCAATGGATTGCCTGGTTTATCCAATAGGATAACACTTCGTTGGATGGAAATTCTTTGCATACACACATGTAAGTATTCTGTCGGTGAAGTTTCAAAGCAAGAAACTAAATTACATCATTGTGTATTTTGTTTTGAGGACTGAGACCTCAATTTCATTTTACTATGAAGAGCTGTTCTTTAAATGCTTCGTCTGAAGAGGCTTTACATGATACTCATAGATTTTCAGAGCAGGCCCCAATTTTAACTGAAGTCCTGTCAACACGTCATTTCTCGTCATCAAGAGCAGGGATTTTCCATCAATTTCCTAGAATGGGAACAGAGGAGAAAGCCAGTGTGTGAATGAGCCCACGGGCTCTTGGCAATGAAGATTAAGGGAGGGTGAAGGGGGGAGTCACACCACCTGTCTCCAGCTAAAAGCTACCGTAATAGTGTCAAAGTGGAATCGTCTATTTTATTTTCCATCTTCTATTTCAAAACATCTTCTGTTTTGAGATTAAGCACAATCTATGGCTGATATTGTTTTTAAGTTCCTATCACAAATCTCAAGAAACTCAGGGGCAATTATTTTAAAACAGTATGTACCAATCTCAGGGATCAGAGTGGTTCCTTCTGAAAAGGATAAGGACATGCTCTGTCCATAAAATATATTAAAATGTGCTAAAATTCCCCACATACTGAAGTTCCCAAACCACTCTATAAATTACGACAGAGATTATCATCCTTAATTTAAGGCAAAGCAAGGATCGAGTGAGAAGTTTACTGGCTTAACACAAAGCGAGTTAGGAAGGAGGGAATGAAATCTTGCCTGCCCACAGCCTTTGCCTACTTTCCTTCTGTCTCCCATCTTGCCTTTGAAGGAAACCAAGGCTTTCAGGGCATGAGCATAGGGCTAGCACTCTACCTCCAAACCCTACCCCCTCCCCCTATGCCTAACGTCACAGTTGAATGTCATCTAGGTGGTCTGCGTCTAGACTGGAAATCTTGCTAATTGTAACCGTAGTCTCTCTTCTGGTGCTCCGTCATCCTGGAAAACACTGCCTTTCACACAGAGGCTCCCTCCTCACCACACTTCCTCTCAACAGAGCAAAAGCAAAGCTGTGATGGTTGGACTCTGGCAGCTGCCCAGGCAGCTTTACAGCCCATTCCTTGGTCCTTTCAGGTATTTGGGAGCTACAAAGGAGGAATTCTCACAAAAGAGATGAAAATGGTCTCAATGGAGAGGGGGCTTGAACCTGCGGAAAGGAGGCCCCGAGGATGCTAACTGTGACCATGCTTGTGTTAGTGTGTACAGAAGAAACTGTGTCAGTTCTTTCGCAGGCTTGGGTCTGCTGTGCTTAAGAGTTTTGGTCACTATTTCGCCTAAAACATCCTGGCCAACGAGACACTGCAGTGAGCACATAAAAGTGTGACCCTGTTTACTCTGCCCCCACTCTCATGGACCTTGCCAGGCTGTGGGAAATGTGTAGAGAACCAGCAGCAGGTCAAGGGGTTAAAGTTTCCCACCCTGTGGCCCTCGCTCCGCTCCTTTCCCCTCCTGGGGGCCTAGGAACGCGGAGTTTCCAGGCTTCCTTCCACGAGGCCTTCCTCTATGTACTCCTTGAGCTACGGCACACTTCCTCCAGGCTACTGCTCTCACGGCTCATTTCGCCTGTCACCACCTATCATGAAACAGTAGAACACGGAATCGCTCCTAGCTGCCTCAGAGTGTTTCTGACTTGGGAAACGTTTATTTTCCAGCCACTAAAATGTCTCGTGCTGATTTGTGAGAGGAAGCCACCGCACATAGAAAAGCAGCTGCTCGGGGGCAGTTGGGAACTACTTACCAACATGGGACTTGACCAATATGAAAGCTTGTCCCACCCTCTGTCCCTTTTCCCCACTCCCCTCATTCGTGATCCGGGTGTCTATCAATAACACCTGGAACAGTTTGAATCGCCTGTTTTGAGGTGAACTTGCTTGAGAGGAGTTATCCCCAAAGAAACCCCAGGAGCAGAGCAGAGGGCACTGTGTGACGGACCACAGCAGAACCCAGGACACCATGCCACACAGCAGTCTCAGTCTCTGCGTTGGCTGAGATGGACTTGGACTTGCAACGCCTATGAAGCTGAGTCTTCTTCCCCTTGCTCGAACTACACTCATAGCTTCTGTGTTTCAAGCCGGCACCCCTGATTTCAGACCCCTTTACTAACTGAAAGTGAATTGCGGAAAGGAGAAATCAGTGGTAGCCAAGCACCCTCTGCAACTAACTCAGCATTTCTGCCGAGCGTGCCTGCGAAAATGCTGGGAGCTGGATTTTGCTCAAGGCCAAATGGAAAATCATGTTTTATGTTCCAATTTGATGATTTCCCTTTGTCCCTTGGGCACACGGCAGTTCTCCTCAGAGCAGTGGGCAGAGGGGTCCATCTGGAGACACTCACTGTGCAAGTGTTGAATGTAGTCATCTACTCACACAGCTTTTAAATTAACCCTGATCCAAGCCCAGACACAGGTGGGCAGAAGGCAGTACCTGCTGGCTGCCAGCTTAGGTCAGGTAGACAGCAATTTGAATCCAATTAGCACAACCTAGGTGGCAGGAGGCATAGGCAACCAGGATTCTATGTGATTGAGCTGGGTCCACAAGCTTCTTCTAGTGCATTTGGCAGCTTGACACCCTTATCTACGGTCACTAAGCACACACACCCTTTTCTGAATCATGCGCCCAGCAACATGTTAGCAACCTTAGACCCCCAGCTGCACGGAGTTACATGCATACACACCACGCTCCAAACAGTGGGATGTTTCTTCTCTCCTTGGCAAATGATGGCCACTGAAAGAAACCAGTGCCTTCTGAGCCCAAGTCCACAATTTGCTTCATTTCTGCATCTTTGCCAGATGGATGCAAGTCTATTCCTACTTAGGGTGAGAAAATTCACCAAGATCAAATATTTCAAGAACTACTTAAAACATTTGTCTCATCAAAATCCTGCCCATGGGGGAAGTCCCTTGACTAAAACAGCTAATAATTTGTTATTTAACTTTCATAATAGATTATAATTGCAAATGAAACACAGCTTTTGCTCATCAGCATTGACTGGAAATGGTAGCTTTTATAAGGAGGAACTCACCCGGATCCCAGCCGTTTATTAATCTAGATTGGAGGGCTGAAATTCAACCAACAGACTCTGGCTCAGCAGAACAAACAAACAACCAAGATTTTGTAAATGCAGCACAATCAAAGCAAGAACAAAGATGTAATTCATGTCCTGGGATTTCTGTGTTAATGGACTGACACACGCTTGCCAGCTTCACTGTGCTACAGTGTTCCTGTGTTCACGGATAAGCAAGCCCCAAAGTCCTGTTGGGCCAGAACGACAGGATGTCTGTGTGTTTAGCTAAGTTCTGGCAAGTTCAGATGCACCGAAGCAGCGCTGAGATGATAGGTCTGGATTTCCAGTGGAGCTGAGGCCTCACATTTATGAATCAAGCGGGTAGAGTGGCTACCACTTCACGGAGCACGAGGCAGAGCTGGGGCATGCTACCATATCTCTTTAAGCCTCATTCCCTCATCTGGAAGGTAGGGAAAAGCAGCTACCAGATTGTACTGCTGGAGGATTCAGAGATAATTCCAGACATCTACTGAGCAGCCCGACTACCACAAAAACCCCTTAACCTACTGGCTTTTCACTCTCTGCCAGCTTTAATCTACGTGTAGATGACTCTTTGAATTGGACTTGATCATGATATGAACCATGGGAAGTGCATGGGGAGAGAGATGAGATGGGAAGAGAGGAAGAGAGACATAGAGAAAAAGGTGAGGGAAAGAAAAGGAAGAGTCAGCGAGGGGGCTGCCACTGGGTGGCAAAGGGCCAGCGGGCCAGCAGGGGAAGAGCCGGGAGTCTGCCTTTCCGTGTGGCGTGTCTGTCCTCACCCTGTTACTGAGGGAGAGGACAGCAGGAAGGGCAGCTCTGCTCCTTACTGGTTTTCTGTATAAACATCTGGCCCAGGACTCCCCTCCACAGTGAGGAGAGCTCTAGGCTGTGCCCAGCTCTCTTTACGCTACTCCACCCTCAGATCCCAGCTGTCTCTGACAATCTCCTTCACAACCCCAGGTGAAGAACACAAGGGCAGTTCCTTACCAACCACGTGAAGGGCTCTGACGGAGCAGGCGTTCGCTTTCTATACCCATGGGTCCTCTCATGTTCTCTATGACTTTCTTTGTGACAACTCTCTTACCATTCACTACCCGGCTACAAGTGGTGACCAGTCTGAACTTCCCCATCCCATGGCTCACATATGGTACAAATGTCTCAGAGGCAGCAGGGCCTAATCTCGGCCCCAGGGACACAAAAGTAGAAAAGCCTGTGCCCATGATGGGGGTTACACTAAAGAAGGGGGAAGATGCTCTTCTGGACAGAGCCATGGGACTGCTGAACCAGCACTCTCCCGGGAAGAGGTCTTCCTCTCCAGTGACCTTCTGGAAGGTGCTGCCGCGAGGCCTCTGAAAGCACATTTCTTCTTCCAAGTGGGTTCTGTCTCTGGCATCGCCTCTGGTGTCCCATGTGACAGGGCCATCACCTCTGGTGTCCCATGTGACAGGGCCATCACCTCTGGTGTCCCATGTGACAGGGCCATCGCCTCTGGTCTCCCATGTGGCAGGGCCATCACCTCTGGTCTCCCATGTGACAGGGCCATCACCTCTGGTCTCCCATGTGGCAGGGCCATCACCTCTGGTCTCCCATGTGGCAGGGCCATCACCTCTGGTCTCCCATGTGGCAGGGCCATCACCTCTGGTCTCCCATGTGACAGGGCCATCACCTCTGGTCTCCCATGTGACAGGGCCATCATCTCTGGTGTCCCATGTGGCAGGGCCATCGCCTCTGGTCTCCCATGTGACAGGGCCATCACCTCTGGTCTCCCATGTGACAGGGCCATCGCCTCTGGTCTCCCATGTGGCAGGGCCATCACCTCTGGTCTCCCATGTGGCAGGGCCATCACCTCTGGTCTCCCATGTGGCAGGGCCATCACCTCTGGTCTCCCATGTGACAGGGCCATCGCCTCTGGTCTCCCATGTGACAGGGCCATCATCTCTGGTGTCCCATGTGGCAGGGCCATCGCCTCTGGTCTCCCATGTGACAGGGCCATCGCCTCTGGTCTCCCATGTGGCAGGGCCATCGCCTCTGGTCTCCCATGTGGCAGGGCCATCGCCTCTGGTCTCCCATGTGGCAGGGCCATCGCCTCTGGTCTCCCATGTGGCAGGGCCATCGCCTCTGATTCGTCCTATGGTACGGCCGTCACCTCTGATTCGTCCTTTGGTGTGGCCGTCAC